GGGGCCGCGCTCGCCGTGGCGCCGGGTCAGCCCGGCCCCTTCCCGGTTTTCCTCACCTCTGGTGTAGGGGGAGGACGTGCGTCTTCATTCCTTTTTTCCCAGGCGGCCCTCTGAGGCATTGAGGCCTAGATCAGGCCTCCAGGGAGGGTGGGTGGCATTTCTCTCCAGTTGGGTGGGTATGGTCAGACACATCCTTGTTTCCTGTATGTTTAGCCCAGGGGTGGGTTCCTGTGCCTTGAGGTCTGAGGTGGTCATCAGCAGCCATCCGAGGCCGAGGGCAAGGAGGAGCTTACTGGAAGGAGGTACTGGTTCTCCAGCCTTGGACCGAGCCCAGGGTTGCAGGAGGGACCCCAGGTCACAGAAGAGAAAGTACTGGAGGCACAGGGTTATCAATGCCATCAAATGACTGCGTAAGAGTGGCACATGACACTGCGTTTGCCCTTCCAGTGTTACACAGCAGGGAGCTCTGTAAACAGAAACCCACGTGAAGTCTGCGGAAACAGAGCCGCCTGTGTGGGCCTCTTCAGGAGTCAGTGCTCCGGAACTTTTCACCTGCAGTGCTGGTATCCCAGCAGTTGGCTTAATGAGGCTCCTGAAGGGAGGCGAGTTGAAGAAGCTGCGGGGATTCTGATGCTGACCTCTGATGAAGAGCCATTACAATACTGCATTTATTTGCAGTCCTCTGTGGCCCTATGAGAAGACCACAGGAAGTGGTGGTGAAATAGACCCAGGTCAGGGCACATCACAGGGGTGGGAGGATCACTGGGAAGTTACTGCCCTGGTGTGGCTCTGCCACTGTGGGAGGGGGACATGGGCAAGAACCCTACCTCTTGGGTAGGGGAAGATTTCTGCCTCTTCCTTGGATTCTGGAAAGCTTGTTGGAAAGGAAGAACTGTTAGGCGTACTCAAACCAGACTTTTTCCCCAGCAAACATTTGCAGAGATTGGAATGGGAGAGTGAATAGAGCTGACCTCATATGAGCTGCCCAGAGTTCTACTCCAGTTGTAGTGGTTAACTCTGAGAGGTGGGGTATGGCCCCTGTTTCTCAGCTTGCAGGTGGTGCTTAGAGAGGGTGAGGAACATACCTGACGTGGCATGGCCAGTCAAGCTGGAGACAGGCTTTTTCCCCCAACCCAGAAGGCCTGTGTGACTCCGGAGCTGAGTGTTATTTAGGGTCCCTTCCAGTGGCTACTGGCCTTCTAACTGAGAGCAGGAAGGATGAGAACTGTTTTTTAGCATTGAAGAGATCCTTTATGAAATACTGCTGTTGAAACTAATTTGAGGTTGGCTGGAACCTGCTTGGACTTTTTCTCATGCACTAAGTCCATTCCTCTTAGAATTAGCTCTGGTTTTCTTCTTTACCTACAAAGTGTCAGGCCTATGACTGCCATTGTCCTACCTGACCCATTTGAAAATGGCCTTGGATGCTCTGGCCTAGGCTGGACAGTGGATGTGTGATGCTGCTGAGTGTAAAGGCTCGTATTGATGCTCTACAGATGGGAGGAACCGTGGCCAAATGCTACGTTTATGTGGATGCCTTGCTAGGAGTAATCTTCATTTCTCTTTCATGCCTCTCAAAGGACGATGTGGCCTCTTCCAGGGTTAACACCTCTGCCTTTAGTTTGGGTCCCTACACGTCTTCCTTGGTTCTTATTCCACTAGTGGTTGCCTTCCCCCCTCTTCCACAGTGTTGTGGGTTTTTTTTTTAAATACATCTTTATTTTTGTCAGAGGAAGGGACGGGGGGGGGAGAGAGAAACATCAGTGATGAGAGAGTCATTGATCTGCTGCCTCCTGCACGCCCCCGACTGGGGATCGAGCCCACAACCCAGGCATGTGCCCTGACCAGGGATCCAACCGAAATCTCTTGGCTCCTAGGTCAGCACTCAACTGCTGAGCCATGCCAACGAGCCCCAAGGACATTTTTTCCATTGCTTTTCAGAGTAGAAGGGAGGGAAAGGGAGAGGGAGAAAGAGAAAAACATTGATGTGAGAAAGACTCCACTGGTTGCCTCCCACACACGCCCCAATGGGGCAGGGAGCGAACCTGCAACCCTGGTACATGCTCTTGACAGGGAATCGAACCCACGGCGCTTCATTACACGGGCCTACTTTCTAACCACTGAACCACACTGTCTGGGGTGTGTACCACAGCTTTTTTATTCATTCATCTGATGAGCATTTGGGCTGTTTCCAGATCTTGGCTATTGTAAATAATTCTGCTGTGAACATACGGGTGCATGAGTTCTTTGTGATTGTTGTTTAGGTTTCTTAGGATATATTCCTAGAAGTGGGATCACTGGGTCAAAAGGCAGCTCCATTTTTAATTTTTTGAGGAAACTCCATACTGCTTTCCACAGTGGCTGCACCCGTCTGCGTTCCCATCAGCAGTGCACTAGGGCTCCCTTTTCTCCACATTCTCACTGACACTTTTTGTTTATTGATTTGTTGATGGAGCCATTCTGGTAGGTGTGAGGTGACACCTCATTGTAGTTTTAATCTGCATCTCTGATGATTGGTGACCTTGAGCATTTTTTCCTGTCTCTTAGCCATCTGTAGGTCCTCTTTGGAGAAGTGTCTATATAGGTCCTTTGCCCATTTTTAAGTTGGATTGTTTGTCTTCCTGGTGGTGAGTTGTGCAAGTTTTTTATTTATTTTTTGAATTAACCGCTTAGTAGATATATCATTGGTGAATATGTTCTCCCATACAGTGGGTTGTCTTTTCCTTTTGTTGATGGTTTCTTTTGCTGTGCAGAAGCTTTTTAGTTTGATGTAGTCCCATTTGTTTATCTTTTCCTGAGTTTCCTTTGCCCTTGGAGACATACTGGCAAAAATATTGCTTCGAGAGATGTCTGACCTTTGTCTCTTTTATGGCCTTTGTTTTGAAGCCTATTTTGTCAGATACAAGTATTGCTTCCCCAGCTTTTTTTTGTTTGTTTCCATTTGATGAAAAAATTTTTTCCATCCCTTCACTTTCAGCCTGTGTATGCCTTTTGTTCTGAGGTGGGTCTCTTGTAGACAGTGTATATATGGGTCCTGTTTTCTTATCCATTTTGCTACCATGTGTCTTTTGATTGGAGCATTTAATCCATTTACATGTAGGGTTATTATTCATAAGTACGTATTTATTGTCAGTTTTTCTATGCCTGTGTTCCTCTCTCTCTCAATTTCTTCTTAAAACAGCCTCTTTAGCATTTCTTGCAGTGCTGGTTTGGTGGTGATAAACTTCGTTAGTCTTCTTTTGTCTGGGAAACTCTTTATTTCACCTTCTATTTTGAATGATAGCCTTGCTGGATAAAGTAGTCTTGGATTCAGGTCCTTGCTTTTCATTACTTTGAGTACTTCATGCCATTCCCTTCTGGCCTGAAGCGTTTCTATTGAAAAATCAGCTGACAGCCTTATGGGAGCTTCTTTGTAGGTAACAGATTCCCTTTTTTTTTTTTTTTGGCTGCCTTTAAGATTCTTTCTTTGTCTTGAATATTTGGCATCTTAATTATCATGTGTCTGGACCTGGGTCTCTTTGGATTCTTCTTGCTTGGGACTCTCTGTGAACTTGTGAGACTTTTTCCTTGACCTGATAGGGAAGTTTTCTGCCATTATTTCTTCAAACAGCTTCTCTATCCCTTGCTTGCTTTTTTCTCCTTCTGGTTCCTCCATGATGTGGATGTTGTTAAGTTTCATGTTGTCTCCACAATAGAATTTTAATCCATTACTTTCCTGGACTTCACTGTAGTGAGCCATGTGCACTCTTTATTTAAATTCAGTTTATTTGGTTCCCATGACAAGAGGCTCTTGGACTCTGGTGTTCCCCATGGTTGTGTTCTTAAACCTTTCCTGCTCGTGGATATCCTCGATGAGCTCTCCACATTCTGTGGCAACAACCATCATCTTTCTGTGGGCAGCTTCTCAATCATCTTACCCAACACCTATTAATTTGGTGCCTACCATGTGTTGAGAACCTTGTAGACAAGACAAAACCTCTCCACTCAGAATGTTCATTCCAGTAAAATAAAGCAGGGGAAGGGAGAGAGAGTGGTGGGGGTTGCTTCTCCTAGCAGGGGACACACAAAGAGAGGCTGAATGGTGAGGAGTGAGCCAGGAGAAGGTTATGAGGAGTGTTTGGGACCTTTCTCTCCAATCTCTCTGACACTTTAGTCCAGGCTCGTAACTCTCAAGGATTTCCAGTAACGTCCTCCTATCTCTTAAACTCTGTCTCCGCTCCTGCTACCCACTCCCTCCAGGAACATCCAATGCCCTGGCTCTTCATACCTGCCAGCCACCCCTTGTGTCCCTGTGTGTGATCCCCAGGCCTGACTTTCTGTCCGACGAGCTGACTTTCTCTTCAGATGTCTGTTCTGGTTGGCCTCTGCCATTCCTGAGCACTTGAGCTCCAGCTCCTGCCTCAGGTACGAGGACTGATGCTGTGGCACCCCACATCAGCTGAGAGGTTGGTTGCAAAACATCAGGTGGGTGGCATAGTTAGCGGGCAGGCTAGGAAGCAGGCTCTGAGCAGGAGGCTGCTTGGGGGGCACACCTAAGTCAGGTTGTTGAGGATGCTGTCCCCCCAGGGTGCACTCCCCCAGGGGACTCCCCACCCCACCGTGCATGTCCACATTCTGATGCTTTGCCTCCCAGTAGGCTCAGTGCCCCAGGCAGGCGCCTCAGGCCAAGCTGTGGGCATGCCCATGCCTGCAGAGGGTGAGGACAGAGGTGTCCCGCCTGATGGGGTCCCCAGAAGAGAAGAGGGTTTAAAACCTGGCCCGTGTGCACTACTAGGTCAGACATTCAGGAACTTAAAATGGTTCCCTGTTTGTTTTGAGCAAGGCTATTTAATAGAGCTTTCTGGAATGATGGAAATGTCCCATGACCAGCACTGCCCTTTTAACACAATGGCTGTGAGCCACATGTGGCTAGTGAATACCTGAAATGTGGCCAGTGAGCGACACTGAGGAAGGTAGCTTTTCAGTTTATTTAACTATAAAGTGCTGGCTCATGGCTACTGTCCTGGACACTGTGGGACTGGAGAGTACATGTTCCCTCTAACCTGGCTCCCAGGCTCTCCTCTGTCACACGTGTCACGTGAGCCAGCCATCATTGTCCCACCTCTGCCTTTCTTCCTGTGTTCTCGTTTCCAGACCCCTTCTGCTTGTCCGCCCAGTGGAATGCTCCCACTTTTACAGTCTTGCCTGATTTTTCCCAGCCAGGACCACTTGTGTCTGCATTCACATCCCCTGCTCTCCCTCCCTTATCATGCACAAACTGCCCAGCCGACTTGCTGCCAAGCCCTTCTCTCGGCTCTGAGCCTGTGTGCTGGACCCCATCCTCTGCTGCCTCCCCCAGGATTCTGCTTCTCTCACAATTCCCATTTTGCTCACTTGGTCTCTGGGTACACTGGAGTTCGCCTCAGTGCCTGCCCTTATCTGTCACCCTGTCTAACTCTTCCTCCCCTTCACATCTAAGCTCTGGGGAGGAGTCCGGGCTCCCTTGAGGTGCTCCTGTCCCCACCCAGGACTGACTGTCCCGCTCAGCTCTAGCCCTGTACTCCCACTGCCTGCCATTGTCTCCACTGGAGGCTTAGCAGGCCTGGCCTCCTGGCTTCTTCCTCCTTGCCCTCCAGTCTTCCACATTCCTTTCTTACTGGTCCAGATGGCTTGGCTCCCTTCTTCACGCCCCACAGCCCACCCATGAGCAGAGTTGGCTGGCTCTGCCTTGGTTGTATTCCAGGTTTGACTGTCCTGTTCACCCTAGCCCAGGCCACCATCTCTTCTCCCTGCAGCTGGTTTCTCTGCTTCCATAATTCTTTTAAGTTAAGATTCAAATTTATCATGTTTCTCATCGGAACCTATTAAAGACTCTCTAGTTTCTCGTCAGAAAAGTTCAGGGTCTTACTATGGCCTAGAATGATCCCCAAAACCTTCTTCCTCCTGGTTTTCTGCCCCGTTCCCTCAACTCCGCTGACACTCAGGCTCCAAGCCTGGCTCTCTCCCCTCTGCCTTCTGCCTGAGACCACATCGCATCTCTTCCAGCGATTCTCTGTCCCGGACCCGCTGTGCTTTTTTATTCCTACTGCTGTCACTGCAGAGTAAGCAGTTGCTTGTGTGTCCCTCCCTCCCAGAGGGTGAGCTTGCTGAGGACAGCATCACATCCCCCAGACCTTGCCCCTTGTGCCCTGTCTGCCTCGGAGCCCTCACGCTTCTAACGGAAGGGTTTTCTGTGTGATGGTTGAATTATATTTTTCCTCCTGTTTTGTGTGACTCCTCATGGGCAGGGGACTGTGTTTGCCTTGTTTTCGCTGTGCGAGTGCAGCTCTGGCACAGGATGGGGCTCAGCCAGTGCCGCCTGGCTGGGCACCCCACCTCTGCTGGATGGGAGCCCATTGATGATACCTCCCCAGGCCCTGTGCTCCACAGGTGCTGACAGTGCTGTGGTGATGCCAGCTGATGGCATTTCCCTTCTCTCCCAACACAGGCCTGTGGGTCTCCAAGGCAACATGAATGCCATCGTCGCTCTCTGTCACTTCTGTGAGCTCCATGGCCCTCGCACCCTCTTTTGCACTGAGGTTCTTCATGCTCCTCTTCCAAAAGGGGCTGGGGACAGCCCTGGCCAAGGTGAACAGGCCGAGGAGGAGGAAGGCGGCATTCAGATGAGCAGTGGAATCTGCACTCATAGCCCAGCAGAAGGGGCCAGCGCAGAGTCCAGCAGCCCAGGACCCAAAAAATCGGACATGTGCGAGGCAAGTGTCTCTTGGGGGTGTGGGATCGTTTCTCTCTCTCCAGGGGCTTGTGCTTGTGCTGTGTGTGGGCCCTCGTGGGGCGAACAGGAGGCCCTGTGATGCAATGGAGGGACCTCACAGAAGGTGTGGTCTTCAGGTGATGTGTGCAGACCATTCTCCATGGAATGAGTTTGCTGCTTTTTATGTTCCTTTAGTTCTTTCCCTTCATCCTAGATTTAGCTTTTTCAGCCCACTCTCTGCCAACATATGTCGTCACCACCATCACATTTGCCTTGCAGCCCACCCCCTACACGTTCTTGCTCACAGTGGCCTCTCCCAGGCCTTGATCCTCTCTGTTGGTGTTCTCGGGGCGTTTTCTCCTCATGGGGTCCTGGACGTTCCTCTGGGCTGCTTCGTGAGCTCTGGGAAAATGAAGTTCAAGTTCCCTTACCAGCCACTTCTTCACATGAGGCACCTGGGTTGGGACCCAAAATCAGAGGTAGTGTTGGATTCTTGTTCACACCAACTCTGATGCCTGTGGCCTCTTCCTGAGATCCCTGCCAAGTGGTTGTGTCAGGACCAAGGACAGAAGCCAGCAGAGAGCACTATGTGAGGCACTTCGAAGCCGTGAGCCTCAGTTTTGCCTTCTGTATGATGGGGATTCTCACTAATTATCTCATAAAGCTGCCTTTTGGAATAAACGAGATAGTGTGCAGAGCTTTTTGTTTGTTTTGTTAATCCCCTTCTGAGGATATTTTTTCCATTGATTTTTAGGGTGAGCGGAAGGGAGGGAGGGAGAGAAACATCTATTGGTTGCCCAAGCACATGCCTCTACCTGGGCTGGGGATTGATCTGCAGCCCAGGTACGTGCCCTTGACTGGGAATTGAACCTGGGACCCTTTGGTGTGTGTGCAGATGCTCTAACCACTGAGCAACACTGGCCAGGGCTGCGGAGTGTTTTGTAAGACCTGCTACACAAGTGCTCAGTGGGTTAGATCTGTTATAGCTACCCTGTGAAAGCCTTTGTGATCTTTGCATCCTGGTTCTCCTGGTCAGGAACATTGAAGTCCTCAGGTAAGTATAACTCTCCGAGCCAGTTATTAAATGAAAATAGATTGAATTCTCTACTTTGGATTTGCATAAGAGTAAGAAAGTGTGTCGTCTGCTTCCGGACTAACTGGTTTTCTTTCTCCTCCCACGGGCAGGGCTGTCGATCCCTTGCTGCGGGGCACCCCGGGTACATCAGCCATGATAAAGAGACTTCGATTAAGTATGTCAGTCACCAGCACCCCAGCCACCCCCAGCTCTTCAGCATTGTCCGCCAGGCTTGTGTGCGGAGCCTGAGCTGTGAGGTGACCGCCTGTGATGTGGGAAGGGAGGCCGCTGTCCCTTTGGGGATCTCATACACTCCAAGGTTCCCCAAACAGGTTCAGTGTTGGCCGAGGAAAGAAAGACTGAGTCAGTCCTGTCGTGAAGGGGACAGCAGACCAGTGTGTGGGGCACAGAGTAGCCTCTGTTCTCTGAAACTCCAGAATGCATTGTGTTGGGCTCCAGTCCTCTCAGTGATTGCCAGCTTATCAGTTTAAGCACCAGACTTTTGTTACTTGTTCATTCTTAATGGAACATATTTCTAAGATATGATATATTTCCAGGATATGTAGTTTGTCATATCAGACATCACCTTTTTTATTTTCTCTATCATCCTGTGTTCTCAGACTCTACTGCAGAGTGAATCCATTTGTTTCTAAACTAGATGACTGCTGTTGTTGAGTTACAGAATTTCCCGTCACCATGCCCGTTTGATCGGACACGCTGAGCTCCCTCACTCGTAGCTCTCACTTGTTCTGTGTGCTCACCTTGGCTCCTCCCTCCTCTTGATGTTCTGCTGCTAGTCTGCTGGCTGGCAGATGGTCTTGTCTGACTGAGCTGAGAGTAAAGTGAGCGTGGCTGTGTATGAGGGAGACCTGAGTTCTCTCCTATAGATGAAGCATGCAGATTTTATTACATGGACTCTGCAGTGGATGTTTTGACCTGCCAGCTCTCCAGTATTTTTCAGAGTGATATTGGCAAATTTGAGTCTGGGATAGATTTATTTGTGTAGAGTTACTTATGGCTCAGGGTAGAAAAAAGCAATGAACCTACTTCACTGGCCCTTGCATTCCATGATAACAAACGTTATGTTTAGAAAGTTTGATCCCAAGAGCAGGTAAAAGTGAAGTTTTCCTCTCTCATCCCTACTTTTCCCCCTCTCTGTATAATTAGTGGTGGCTAATAAGTGCAGAAAGAAAAATCTGAGCCAGGGGTTTGATTTTGTATCATTGAAACAAGGAGAGGACTGTGTCCGGAGTGACTGTTGTTTTGTCCCAGGTCTGCCCTGGCCGTGAAGGCCCGATCTTCTTTGGGGATGAGCAGCATGGGTTCGTGTTCAGCCACACCTTCTTCATCAAGGACAGCCTGGCCAGGGGCTTCCAGCGCTGGTACAGCATCATTGCCATCATGATGGACCGGATCTACCTCATCAACTCCTGGCCCTTCCTGCTTGGAAAGATCCGAGGGATCATTGATGAACTCCAGGGCAAGGCACTCAAGGTGACCCTGGGTGAAGGGGGGCAGGGGGTGCAAGCTGTGCACTGACGTAGGTGTGAGCATGTGGTCCTGCGGTGGCTGCTCTGTCTACATTGTCGTCCCCTGGCTTCAGAGGCAGGACTGTGGCATGAGCCTCGCAGTCACTCAGACCAGCTTTCGTGGTCTCTCAAGTCTATTGTGGTCTTGTTCAACTCTGGCTTCTTTGCTGCAGTCAGACTCTGGCTTCACCCCATTGTTTGCATCCTCTGACCTTCATTGCAACCCACCACCTCCAGCTTGGCGTTGCCTCTCTCAGGGTGGGACAGGTGAGGCTCTGGCAGCAAACCGCCCTCAAACCTCAGTCACTTAAAACCACAGCTTTCCCCTTATTCACGTTGCTTGTCTGTTAAGGAACTGGAGGCATCTACTCATTGTCGGGGTCCTGGCAGGTGGAGTGCCAGCCGAATCGAATGTTACTCACTTGCCTGCTGGAGGGAATAAAGGGTACTGGTCATGTTTCCCCCACGAGCTCTGAGTGAACACCTCCATGTGCCTGGAAGGGGAGGACTGGAGGCACTCGGAGAGCACACCTGCCACCCGAACGTCCATTGAGTGCCTACTGGGCCTGCTGCAGGAGAGGGTACAGGAGAAACCTCGCCAGTTCTTCTGCTCGGGTGTCTTCTGATAGAGTGGGGAAGCAGACCCTTCTGTGGGATTATGAGACTGCTCGGTTTCTGTTCCCTGCACGGGGGAGGCAGAATGGGGCAGGCTCCAGGAGTGGCCCTCGTGAGGTTGTCTCTGCATGCCCGGCGCTTGTCCGGTGCTGCTTGTTGAAGGGCTGCCCTCCTCTGCATTCCAGGTGTTTGAAGCAGAGCAGTTTGGATGCCCACAGCGTGCCCAGAGGATGAACACAGCTTTCACCCCGTTCTTGCACCAAAGGAACGGGAACGCCGCCCGGTCTCTGACGTCCTTGACGAGCGATGACAACTTGTGGGCGTGCCTTCACACCTCCTTTGCTTGGTAATGAGGCTCCCAAGTCTTCCAGCAACTCTTAGAGTAAGAGCAGTACACGACTTCGGGGAGGACAGTCATTGGTGCCTCTGTGGTGTGTACTTGTTTAGTGAGCACTGAACTGGATGCAGGTTTCCCAGGAGTATGTGCAAGATGTGTTTATATAGAACTCACTCCCAGTCATGATTTTAAAATGATATTCCCAGCGCAGGCGCGCTCCCTCCCAGGAGCACACCCATGCCTTTCCTCCCGGCTTCCCCTTCTTCCCCCACAGGCCTGCACCTCCTAAACTCTGAAGGACCCCATGAGGCTTGCCCCTAGGGGGCAATGGGCAGCAGCAGCTCATCCCAGGCTAACTCCTGAACCTGTCCCCAAGGCCCCCTTTTCTCTGGCTTCTTAGTGAGCCAAAGCCGCCCCGCCTGGGCTCATTTCCCTGGCTAGTCCCTCTCCTGTTGCTTCTTCCATCCTAGGCCCTTTTTCGTTTCGCTGTCCCCAGCTTTAGTAAACGTCCTCTTAAAAAAAAAAAAAGAAAAAGAAAAAGGAAACGATAGCCCCATTCCTGGACGAGTGACCTCCCTTCTTTGTAAACAACAGTAAGCATTTATCGTGCACAGCTTCTGTGGGCCAGGAATTGGAGAGTGGCTAGCCGGCCAGCATGGGCTCAGATCCTGAGTTTTTGGTCAGCTGGGGCTGCGTCTTCTGAAGGTTTGGCTTCCTCATGGGGCTGGCAGGTTGGTGCTGGCTGTGGGCAGGAGGCCTCAGCTCCTCGCTGTGTGGACACACGAGCTGACTTCCCTCGGAGTGAGTGAGCAGAGAGAACGAGGTGGTGTGTGCAAGGTCACGCACGGCTGTTTCCAGCACGTACTCTGTTAGAAATGTGCTGTGTCACAGGCCAGCCTAGTCCAAGGACAGGATCAGTCTTCCTTTGAAGGGAGGGGTGTCAGTGAATTTGTGGACATACTGGAAACGACCCGTTAGTCCTCTGGCCACAGATTGTTTCTGTTCCTCCATTGCAAGATCTGCTCCTTCCAAGACTCCCCCAGATTCTCACTCCTGTGTAGTGTAAGCTTGAAGTCTAGGCTTGTCTGCGTTCCTGGTGGGTGATGTTCCTCAGATGTGGGTCCTCGAGTGCAGCTCCCAAGGACCTTGAACCCCCACCCATCCGACGTAAAAATCACTTACTAGGGAAACTTTTAACAGGTCAGAGAGAATAAACAGTCCAGTGAAGTGCATCCCTGCCTTCCCACTTCAGCAGTTGCCAGCACTGTGCTGCTTTTGCGTCTGTCCCCTCACTTTTCTCTTGAACTTTTTAAAGCGGGTGTCAGTTGTATCCTTTCAACCATGAAACCATTATCATGTCCAACAAAATGGACGAATTTCTTAGTATCATCCAGCCCGATCCAAGTTCACTTTTTCTGTTTTGCCTCAGAATTGATGTTTAAATTGGATCAGAACACAGCTCGTTCTAAATTGCTAGGTCTAGAATAGTGTCTTCTACGCCCCCACCCCTGCTTTTCCCATGCCTTTTGCTGGGAGACCGGGGCCTTGTGTTTCATATTTGGTTGATCATATTGTGCTATTTATTGCTCAACATATTCTTTTACCTTGTTTTCTATAAACTGGTAGTTAGATCCTGAGGCTTCAGGCTTAGTTTTTCCTGTGGCAAGGACACGTGACAGCTTTGTTCTCCAGGCTCCTGAAAGCGTGTGGCAGCCGGCTGACAGAGAAGCTCCTGGAGGGCGCACCCACTGAGGACACCTTGGTCCAGATGGAGAAGCTTGCGGGTGAGCGGGGAGGTGCTTGTGCTTGGAGCCCTTTGCCTGCAGTGGCCACTGGGGACCATCCCAGCCACCTGGCCTTCCTCCATGCTAGCAGAAAGAGCTGGCGAAGGGGACCCTAGGGTGAATAACCCTATGAGGAGCATCTGCACAAAAGCTTGCCCTTTAATCTTGGTGATTTTATTTTGACTTCCTGTCTCATTTTCCTGAACCATCCAGTGAAAGAATTTATGACCCCAGGCAGGCTGGGAAAACCCACTGTTAGGGCTCGGTCTGTGCAGAGGATTGACTGACTGAATGTTTCCTTGTCTGTATTTTATCATTAACTAAGTGCTTGGCCTTTCTAGACAGCCTCTTATTCTGTCTCTTTAGCAATGAAATACTAGGCTTCATTCAGTTGGAGCCAAGGTTTCCATCCAGGGCATTGGTTCCCAAGCCTCACTGGTGTCTGGGCAGCCCTCCCTGGGCTTGTGATCAGATCTTCGTGTCTGGGGCTCAGGAGCCTGTGTGGGTTCAGTAACTTCCCAGGGGATTCTGAGGGGAGTACAGCAGCCCAGGAGCCTCTGGTTTCGATCCTGGCTGTGCTCTTCCTTCAGAGATGATTCGTGGCTTGGTGCGTGCTGTGTGTAGTTTGTTTCTAATAATGCTTGATGTGCTTCGATTTGCAAATAACTGACCTTGATACATTGGAGCTGTTTCAAGGTGACTCCTGTAGCCAAGTGACTTGTATGTGCTTGCATTCAGACGCTTTCCTGAGTAGGGAAAAGGGAGCAGAGTTTCAGCGAGAGCAGAATATGCTCAGAAAAGATAACGCCTTGCAGTCATGGATCATTTGACCCTAGAACAGTGTATTATTGTGGTGATTATAAACTTTGAGGTTTAGTGAATTTGGTAAAAATAGTATGTTGATGAGATTTACTTACACAGGGAGCCAAGTACATCAGGACAAGCTTTTAGGGCTTCCTGTCATATCTTGGTCTGTATTTTAGTCACAAAGAGGTTCAGAGCACGTACGTTGGAGTCGGACAGACCTGGCTTCAAACCCTGCCTCTGCCGCTGTGTTCTGTGTGCATCAATCGGTACAGCCCCCTTCTCGTGGTCTCCATGTGTGAGGATTGTCAAGAAGGTTAATCGGAAAAACGAAGATTTCTTTATCTTTAAAATGAGAATAGTATTGACCTTAGGACAGCTGAAAGGATGAGTGATGTGTGGAAGCCCTTTGAGGAGGAGCTCAGTAAATAGAAGCTGTAGTCATCCTACTGTTGGTTTGAATTTTCCCGCTGCCAGTGACCAGCTTGCAGTCTTGCAGGTGCGCACTTTATAACACAGAGAGACTCTGGGCTGCTATGCAGCAGACTGGGCCCTCCCAACCCACCCCAAGGCTCCTAGGGTAAAAAGTAGCACAGCCCTGGCCAGTGTGCTCAGTGGTTAGAGTGTCAGCCTGCGCACTGAAGGGTCGTGGGTTTGATTCCCAGTCAAGGGCATGTACCTGGGTTGCAGGTTCCAGCCCTGGTCAGGGCGTGTGTGGGAGGCAACCAGTTGTGTCTCTCTCACATCAGTGAACCTGTCTGTCTTCTGTCTCCCTCCCTTCCATTCTCTCTAAAAATCAATGGAAAAAATATCCTTGAGTGAGGGTTCACCAAAAAAAAAAAAAAATAGTGTACAGGACTGGCCAAAACCAGAAATCCATAACCCCTAGTAGGTTAACCATGGGGTGCCCTGGGCTGAAGTGGTCATGTAAGGAGACTATTGCATGCGGAAGTGGAGGAGTCCGGCGGGCAGCATGCTTCATAACTGCCGTTTTTGTGGATCGTGCAGATTTAGAAGAGGAATCAGAAAGCTGGGACAACTCTGAGGCTGAAGAGGAAAAAGCCCCTGTCTTGCCAGAGGGTGCAGAAGGGCGGGAGCTGACCAAATGCCCAACAGACTCTTCCTTGCTCTCAGACTGTGAGAACTGGCAGCCCCGAAAGGTGTCTGTCTTTAAGTCCCTTCGGCACATGAGACAGGTAGGTGGTAGAGGGATAGAGCCCCCATCAGAAACTCAGAAGAGCCCAGTCCTCACCTTCCAGCTCGTCTCCCTCCAGCACCCTTAGTCCTTTGGGCTTATTATGCTCAAGACCCGGCAGGGACTGGGTGGTTAGAAGTAACCAAGAACCTTGGTGGTTGCAGGTTCGATTCCCCATCAGGGCACATGCAAGAATCAGCCAGTGCATGCGTACATAAGTAGACAGCAGAGCGGTGTTTCTCTCTCCCTCCCTTCCTCTCTCTCTAAAAATCAATAATAAAAAAACACTCATATTCTCTGGTGAGGATGAAGAAGAAAAGAGTGGGGTGGGGGGAGGGCTGGTCTGTATTGAAGCAGACAGGACAGGACAGGACAGGACGGCACAGCAGCCGTGACTCTTCAGTGACTGCCAGGCTGAAAGATACTGGCTGTACAGGGCCCTGGGTATTGGGTTTGCTGCATCCGTGTGGCCTTTTGGGGTGTGGCCTTCTGGGTGTGTCAGAGAAGCCTGTTCCTGATGGGTCCTGAAGTGTAACGATGCCACTTACTTCCAAGTGGTTCCGCAAAATAAAGGGTGTGTAGAGAGAGAAGGTAGATGTTGCAAAAGCTAATACTTTTTCTGCTTCAAGGCTTTGAAAATAAAATTGGGAAAAAGGTTTATAAAATGTGTGAGAGTTTTGGGATCAGGTTTTTAGGTACAAATCTGGGGACTTCTACCTGCCTCCTATGACCTTGTGCAAGTCACTCAGCCTCATCTCCTGACCTGCCTCCCTTTACCATACAGAGAAAGTTTCTAGACAAACACAAATAACATCAGGAAGCACATTCAGGGTAGAAAGCTCTGAACTCTCTTTTCAGGTCCTGGGTGCCCCGTCTTTCCGCATGTTGGCCTGGCATGTTCTCATGGGAAACCAGGTGATCTGGAAAAGTAGAGATACAGACCTTGTCCTGTCAGCTTTTGAAGTTCTTCGGGTAAGGGTATCTTTTTACTGCACGTTTTATAGCAGGACAGTATTTGTTTAGTGGGTTTGAAAATACCCTGACTTTGGTGTGACTGTTAGGATGCATTGATGGCTCAGTGCAGAAGTTTACTCCTGAACCTAAGTCTGAGTTTCTTCTTCCACTGTTAAAAATTACAGTCATTTATGGTTCTTATTTCCAGTGGAAGGAGTCTGTGCTCTCTTTCTAGACTGATAACTGATTCAGTCCCTGAATCCCTGAATCCCTCTCGGAAGCCATTGGAATGGCTCACAGCTGCTGTAGAAGCAGGTCTGTGAGCACTGCCGCTGCGCAGAGCAGCCTCGGTGAGGTGGGTGGGAGTCAGGCAGCAGGCTGTCTCCGTGCCAGAGGGGTAGTATTGCCAAGGCCTGAGGTTGGCTCTCCTGTGTTTAAGTCATTAGAAAGTGTGCGAGTGCCTCCCGTTTACCTAGGCCTATGAGGGCACAAATGAATAGGACACATTATAAGCTCTCAAAAAGCTTATAATCTCTTTGTTGGATGAGGGAAGAGACAAACAGCTGCGAGATAAAAGAATTATATAAGAATTAACAGTGTAAAGCAAAAGACAGCACAAGTTATGCCTGACCAATAGCCAGGAGACACCCCAGGGGGCTGAGCGGCCAGGGATGCCGAGCGACGGAGGGCCCGAGGAGTGTGGAAGATGGAGACAGGCAGGGGCAGGGCGTGTTCCCGCTGGTGTCAGCTCTGAGCCCCTCTCCTTTCTAGACCATGCTGCCAGTGGGCTGTGTCCGCACCATCCCGTACAGCAGCCAGTATGAGGAGGCCTACCGGTGCAACTTCCTGGGGCTCAGCCCGCATGTGCAGATCCCCTCCCACGTGCTCGCTTCAGGTGCGTGCCTTTCCTGCCTGGTCCGAGTTCCTGCATCTCAGGGCTTAGCAGTGGAACGGAATCCTAGCTGTGCCTTGGAGGATACTGCCTGCTGGCCTCGGAAGCAGGAGGACCCACGCTGTAGGAGCAGCTCTCCCGTTGCCATTGGGCCTCTGCTTTGTCTTTAAAATGGGGGAGGGTTGGACAGGACCAGTTTCACAATAAGGGTGGCTTGCTGGGGCGTGGTTCTTAGTCAGGGGCGGGCCACAGTCCTGGGAGTGGGAACTACACAGAGGATGTCAGAGGACTGAAGTGCCATTGGCGAGTGAGTCGGGTGCCATGGAGATTCCAGCCGGAGGTTTGCTAGACCCCGACAGCGTGCTTTCATACTCCATCCGTCCCGCGGTCTTCCTTTGCTCTCACTGTTCTCTCATGCTTGTCCTCCCCAAGTTTTTCTTCATTTTATGTGTCTTTTAAAAAACGAGTTTATTCGAGTCAAAACTGATTACATATGCTGGGGAGCACAATCTCAAATGCTCCCCCTTTTTTATGTACCTTAAATACATCTTCCACATCCATTGGTAGAGTGAGGCTTGCTCTACCTCTGACAAGCTTACTCCTCCAGGTAACTTCCAAGAAGCTAATCTGCATCCCTCACTTTTGGTTTAGGAAGTTCAGGAGTCAGTCTGGGTGCAAATGCCATCCTCCAAGGCAGTCAAGACTTCTCCGACGTCTGTGAGGGGCAGCAGTCACTGTGCTCACAGGTGGTGGGAGGTCCAGTGGCGGAGCATTTTGGCTCTCAGCAGCCCTGAGCTGCTTGTCCATTCAGCACCCACACTGGGTCTTGAGTGCCTGAGGGGAGTGCCCCTTTTCTGGGTAGGCACTAGTTTCAGTTATGGGCTTGAAAGTCTTACCACTTCTAGTTGTGTGACTTCGGGCAAGTCACTTGGCTTCTGAGTCTGTTTCCCTGTCTGCAAAATGGGGGAAATAGTGGGACCTCTCTCTAGTGGTCATAGGGCTGTTTAGTATTAAGCGAATTGAGGTATATAATTAGTAGTTGTTGTAAAATAATATATTGTTAGTTTAACTGAGACAAAAGTTAAACTTAACTCTACAAATAAACCACAGAAAGTTTTAAATGCCAAAGCGTTAATCTCAGGAGACGAGTTCTTTCCTAGATGACCAGATAACTTGAGCAGCAGAATGAGATGGGCTTGTGAAAGGAACAAAGAGGAGCGCTAACTGGAGCGATGCGTTTGTGTTGCTGCAGAATTTGCTGTCATAGTGGAGGTGCATTCAGCCACTCACTCCAGTCTCCACCCCATCGGGTGTGAGGAGGACCAGTCTCTCAGCAAGTATGAGTTTGTGGTGACCAGTGGAAGTCCTGTAGCTGCAGACCGAGGTGGGTGTGCTGCTGAGCAGGGCTACCTCTCACCAGAATGAGGGTGGGAGGAAGGCGCTGAGGCTGCCTCTCACCTGCCCTGTGCTGACACCTCCTGCCTACTTTGCCCTGACTCTTGTTGCCAGTTGGCCCAACCATTTTGAATAAGATAGAAGCTGCTTTGACCAACCAGAATCTGTCTGTGGATGTGGTTGACCAGTGCCTCATCTGCCTCAAGGAAGAGTGGATGAAGTAAGTACACTATCTGGACACCTAGAGCCTGATCTCTGAGTGGGGAGGGCTCGGTTGCTGACAGGAGTGTGTCTGCTAAGGAGAACCAGAAGCTGTTTCAGAAAAAGAGGTGAGGTCGTGACTACCAGGAGAGGCAGTCTAGAGTAGAGGCTAACAGTGTGAGTTCAAATACCGGCTCCACCACTTAATATGTTAGCCGAGTGACACTAAGCAAGTGACCCAGTGCCCCCAAGCCTCAGGCTGTTCCTCTGTGAGATGGGGGTGACACCTGCCTCCAAGGGAAGCAGTTATTTTTGCTGCTTAATTATCTTTAAAAATCTTAAAGTCAGATAATAGATGTTCCTGTTTTACTAAAGTAAGTTACTTTATGTCCTCCTGCCTTAGTAATTTTTTGTCAAATTTAATTAGTCAAACATTGTCCTGATTTAAAATAATACAGTGAAGCTTAGGATCAACCAAGTCCTTTGATGAATTTAAGTGAAACATTTTTTTCTCTTCTTTTACCCCATTTGGATGCACTAGCCATGTTACCCAGGGTTATAACTGATGGGCACACTAAAGATCCTCAGGCTGCAGGTGGGCTACAGCCTTGCTGTGCTGTTTCCTCTGAGAGTTCGAATTTCAGCTTCACTTGCGGGACTAGAACTCTGGAGATTGTGCTGTGGTATCTGAGTGTTTTGTTCTGGTTTTCTACAGCAAAGTGAAGGTCCTTTTTAAATTCACCAAGGTGGACAGTCGACCCAAAGAGGACACCCAGAAGCTCCTGAGTATCCTTGGAGCATCTGAGGAGGACAACGTTAAGCTGCTCAAGTTCTGGATGACGGGCCTGAGCAAAACCTACAAGTCACACCTTATGTCCACAGTCCGTAGCCCCACAGCCACAGAGCCTCGCAATTGAGCCCACCATGGAAGTCTGATGCCTCTGGGAAGTGGTGACAGCCATCCTTGCCTTTGGGCTCAGAGAGGAGGTGTCTGGTGGCAGTCCCAGGCTGTTCTCTCACCCTGAACTGCTGGCACAGAGCTGTTTCCTAGCATGGAATGTCCACTGCTGGGGCTGAACTCTGCCTGTGTGTGGGATTTGGGCTCAGTGTAGTCCTTGGGATCATCCCACAAGCTGTTTCAATTGCTCCAGCCTGAAGAGGACAGCGGGAGACATAGGACAAGGGACAGGTCCCCTGCATTTGTGCACCCCTATGAGAGAAGGCTGAGGGAAATGTGTCTCATGCCTCTCATGGACTCAGATCTCAAAATTTAGCCCTGTCCAGTGTGGCTCAGTGTAGAGCGTTGGCCTGCACAGTGAAAGGTCTCAGGATCGATTCCCGGTCAAGGACATGGACCTGGGCTCCAGGTTTGATCCTCGGTCCCAGTCAGGGTGCATGTGGGAGGCAACCAATCGATGTCTCTCCCACATCAATGTTCCTCCCTCCCTCCCTGCCTCCCTCTTTAAAAATCAATGGAGCTTGGCCAGGTGTGGCTCAGCGGGTGAGCGTCGGCCTAGGATCCAGGCGATTGGGGTTCGAATCCCGGTCAGGGCACACGCCCAGGTTGCAGGCTCGATCCCCAGTCGGGGGCGTGCGGGAGGCAGCCGATTGAAGTTACTCTCTCATCATTGATGTTTCTCTCTCCCTCCCTCTCCCTTCCTCTCTCTGAAATCAATAAAGATTTATTTTAAAAAAACACACCTGTGGGTGAGGATTATATAGGGAAGACAAATCAGGCCAGCCCTGACTTGGGTATTCCAGCTACGATATCATACCTTCTCTCAAGGTTAACATTCAAAGCTTTCTATTTTGAAATTCAGCAAGAGTTTTCCAGGTTTTATATGCATGCATGTACATATTTCTGCTACTGTGAGTTTTCAAGATCCTTAGTCATTTTTAGGAACCTGGTGTGAGTGAGGACTCTGGGAAGGGCCTTTGGGTCAAGAGGTTGTATTTCCTCCTCATAGGACACCCAGGAGTTCATGCTCTGGAGTCATGTGACTACCAGGCCTCTGGCCATACTCTCCTGAGATTGCTTTGAAATTACCCTGTAGTTTGAGGACAAACCCCTCATCTTTGTTATACAAAGATTATACTTTGCTGAAACATCCAATGGAGCCGTTTGACTTGCCTGGCTCACTGTATTATTCCACACTTTGTTCTTTATTGCTTCTTTAAACATATACACTTGGCTGCAGTTAATTTTCAGAGTATGGTGATTTAAGATAACATTTCATCATCTCAGTGTGTATTGGGTTCATGGTTTGGAGGGATTTTCCAGCAGTTTTACTGATTTGTTACTTTTCATTTGGTTAATTTGTATTAACACGAAGACTAAGTTTATATGACTACGTATATGTGCCATTCAAGAACATTGAAACAATAAAGATGTATTTTTATAAAATGTTGACTACATGGTTTTATTGGTTTGATAACTGAAGTTTTCTTGGGATCAATCACAGAACATATGGTTAGAATAACAACAGTAATGATATAACTGTTTTGGAACTTGAGTCTGTTAAAGGCTTATGACTTCCAAGGAAAGACTGGTAAACTGGTTAATTTTGGTCAGTTTTAGCTCTTGGCACAGTAGCAGCTACCCATCCCCCACCCCCAGCCACATGGCAGGCAGTGTTCGCGGGTTCCTCCAATAGCTTGCACATAGCATATGGGAGCTAGGATGGGTAAAAAGGACCTTCTCCTCCTAACTATTAGGGATCTGTGCTCCAATCACTGATCACTGCTTCTGATCACAAAGGTGCAGACAAAGAAGTAGGCAGCCGTTGTTGCTGTACCTCTCGCCTTGCTGCAAGGTCTTCCTCTAGCTGAAGTGACTGCCAGGAGACCTAATGGGCTGGTGCCCTCCCCCACCCATTTCATTTTTTGCTTTTCTCCTTTCAGGAGCCAGATATGAAAGACTACAACATTCGAAAAATAACCACACATATTGGGAAAATTAGAAAGTGACGGCATACCCACCGCATACTCAGAAAAGAACTGAGAAAACATAAGTTTACACCTCAGCCTGCTGGCAAAGAGACAGCTGACAATAAAAATAAATTAACAAAAAACAAAACTTGGGGGAGGAGTATCTGCTTTTCAGTTAACACATTATTAGATGTGTTCAACAAAAATAATCACAAGGCATACAAAGAAATGGGAAAATATGGCCCTTTCAAATGAAAAAAACATCTGTCCATTAAGAAAAAGACTTAATGGCAAATACATTAGACAGACTTTAAAACAACTGTCTTAAGCTCCAAGAACTAAAGGCAGGTGTGGAGAAAGTCAAGAAAATAACGTGTAACAAAACGCAATATCAAAGAGACAGAAAGCCTAAAACTAAACCAAGAAGAAATCCCAGATCTGAAAACCAATAAAAAACTGAAATGAAAAATTCACTGGAGGAGGGAGTGAAAGGCAGATTTGCGTAGAAAGAATCAGTGAACTTGAAGGTAATACTTGAAATTTTCAAGGCTGAGGAACAGAAAGGAAAATGATTGAAGAAAAGCTAACAGACCCTAAAAGCCCTATGGAACACAATCAAAAGGACCAATATACATATGGAAGTCCCAGACAGAAAGGGGAAGGGAATACTTGAAGAAACGGCTGAAAATTTCTTAAATTTGATGAAAGATATAAACATACGTGAAGCTGAACAAACTCCAAGTAAGATTTAAAAAGGCCCACAACAGGAAGCATTATGATCAAACTTTCAAAAGAGAAAGAGCAAGTCTTTTAAAATTATCTTTATTGTTGAAAATATTACAGATGTCCCCTTTTCCCCCATTGATTCCCCTCCAAGCTGCCCCCAAGAGCAAGTCTTGAAAGCAGCAAGAGAAAGGTGAATCATTACATACAGGGAATCCTCAGTAAGATTGTCTTCAGATTTCCCATCAGAAACTTTGGAGGCCAGGAGACAGCTAATATATTCAGAGTGCTGAAACAAAATAACAAAAGTCAACCAAGAATTGTATATCCAGCAAAACTGTCCTTAAAAGTTAGGGAGAAGTCAAGACATTCCCAGATAAAAGGTGAGGTAGTTCATGAGCACTGGACCTGCCCTGCAAGAACTGGTCAAGGGAGCTCTGCAAGGTGAAATGAAAGGACACGAGACAGTGCCTCAAACCCATTAGAGACATGAAGATCTAAATGAAGGTAAATGCATAGGCAATTACATAAGCTAGTAGTATTGTAGCAATAGTTTGTAACTACTTTTTGTTTTCTACAATTTAAGAAAAGTACATGTAACAAAAATTATTAATGTAAAAGCTAGTATTACTGTAACTGATTTGTAACTGCAAATCTTATTTTCTACATAATTTAGGAGACTAATGCATTTAGAAGAATTAGTTTATGTTAGTGGGCACACTGTAGAAAGATGTAATTTTGTGACATCAACAATCAAAAGCGGATCAAACTCCGTCATGAACGACACAGTAACTATCCTGACCAGGAAGTTCATGACCAACGAACTATTTCAGTGGAAACAAATGGTTATTGACACCCTCCACCCTGGGAAGGCAATGTGTAAGACCACACCAGATGCCATCTTTGGATTCAGAACCCATTTTGGCAGTGTCAAAACAACTGGCTTTGGCATGATTTATGATTCCTTGGATTCCCCAGGGAAAAATGAACCCAAACATAGACTTGCAAGACATGGTCTGTATGAGAAAACCTCAAGCAAACAGAGAAAGCTCAAGAACAGAATAGAGGAGCCAGGGGGAAGGGCAGAGGCCAATGTTGGTGCTCCTAAAAGTGAGCTGGAGATGGGACAACAGAAGGAGTGAAGATTCTTCAGGGACTTGATCTGTGGTGATCATTAATCCTCTCATGAAAAATCTGCACAAAGAACTTTTACGTGAAAAAACAAAAGGGGTGGGGATGGAGCTGCAAAGTTTTTGTTGTTGAAGTTAAGCTGCTATAAATTCAAATTAGATATTATACCTTTAGGATGTTAAATGTAATTATGGTAACCACAAAGAAAATAGTTATAGAATATACACAAAAAGAAATTAAAACATTTTACTACAAAAAATTAACACAGCCCTGGCTGGTTTGGCTCAGTGGTTGGAGCATCAGCCTGCGGACTGGTGGGTTTGCATTCTGGCCCAGGGCACATGCCTCGGCTGCAGGCTCCCTCCCGGCCCTGTAGGGGCGTGTGGGAGGCCACCAGTCGATGTGTCCATCTCACATCGATGTCTCTCTCCCCCTTCCACTCTGTCTGGAAAGCAATGGGAAAACATCCTTGGGTGAGGGTTAAAAACAAACAAACAAAAAACACGTGCCCAGCAGCGTGGCTCAGCGGTTGAGCGTCGACCTAGGATCCAGGAGCTTTCGGTTCGATTCCCCGTCTGGGCACAGGCCCGGGTAGTGGGCATGATCCCTAGTTGGGGGCGCGCAGGAGGCAGCCGATCTATGCCTCTCATCACTGATGTTTCTCTCTCTCTCCCTCTCCCTGAAATCAATAAAAACATATTTTAAAAATCAAAAGCACGTGACTGAACAAAATACCATCTACAAGAGACTCACTTGATATCCAAAGGCTGGAAGAGGTTGAAAGTGAAAGGATGAAAAGAGATATTCTCGTAATATTTTAAACAAAAATAAATATTTTTAAAAAAATATATATTCTCTATCAATAGTCACCACAAGAGAGTGGAGTGGATATACTAATATCAGATAAAATATACTTTAAATAAGAAAAGGTTATAAGAGACAAAGAAGGACCCAATACAGCAAGAAGATAAAACAATTATAAACATGCTCAGACCATCAAAATATATGAAGCAAAAACTGACAGAATTGAAGGAGAAACAGTTCTACAATAATAGCTGAAGGCTTCAATACCCCACTCACCACAATGGATGGAATAAGCAGACAAAAAATAAGTTAGGAAACAGGGGGCTTAACACAATAAACGAACTGGATCTAACGGGCACATACAGGACACGCCACCCACGAGCACACGTTCTTCTCAGCTACGTAGGGGACGTTTTCCAGGCTAGACCATGTTAGGGCACAAACTAAATCTCAGTAACTTTGAAAAGATACATAAAGCATTTTCTCTGACCACCTGAAGTGAAGTTAGAAGTAACACAAAACTGGAAAATTCACAAAACTGTGGAAATTACACAACATACTTCTATGGATCAAAGGAAAATCATAAGGGAAATTAGAAAATACTTAGAGATAAATGAAAATGAAAACATAACAAACCAAAACTATGGGACACAGTGAAAGCAGTGCTGAGGGCGAAGTTTATACATATAAATGCTTACACTAAAACAAGAAATCTCAAATCAACAACCTAACTTTACAGCCTAAGCAACTAGAAAACAAAGAACAAACTAAACCCAAAGCTGGCAGAAGAAAAAAATATAATAAAGATCAGAGCACATTGAAAAGACTAATATTTAGGTTGAAAACCCTTATTTGAATAAGTTCTCA